TCACGGTGGGGACCTAAATTGTGGTACAAAAGCTAATAAATCATACAGAATTAAGTTTTTTGAAAATCTAAAAATGCAGAAAGTTTCCTGTGAGGGGTAGGTTTAGGGGTAGGGTTGGTGCAGGGCAATAGAATATACGGTCTGTACAGTAGAAAAACCATTACGCCTATGGAGAGTCCCCACAAGGATAGCTGACCAGACATGTGTGTGTGTGTGTGTGTGCGTGCGTGTGTGTGTGTGTGTGTTTGTGTGTGTGTGTGTGTGCGGGTGTGTGTGTGTGTGTGTGGGTTGTGTGAGGATCTGTTTGGAGTTGTGGAATATGGCATTCCCTATTTCTTAAAAACATAGCAACAACCATATTTGTCAACATGATTCTTTTGTAATATGTTTTGTCCTTATATTTACTAGGAATTTAATTGAATCTTTGTAGAAATAAGAAAAGTGAAATCATATAGATCTATGAGGCATGTGAACCCTTAAAACTTAAAGAATTACCACAATTAATAAATTCTATAATTTTAATACATATTGTATATTAGGTTTTAACAGACGAGATATTTTCTACCGCGGGAACAAAAATGATTATTAAAAATGTATCTCCATCAGCTGAAGCTATTTTTAATGATTGGACTTTTTTGAGCATATATACCTACTTCAATATGTCTAGTTTAGTTATATTCCTGTTTTTGTCAGCATACCTCATATTGACCAGGGTAAAATGCTGGTTGAATCTTTGTAGAAAGAAGAAACTTTTAAAGAATCTGATTGATACAAAATATACTTAAGATCAGCCAGAATATTTTCTACTGAAGTGGTAGGGAACACTGCTTATTTAAAATTTAAAGCATTATTGCACTAATAAAATATTTAAATAAATGTAGCTTTTTTGAAAAAGTGAACCAGATGTTAAGTTAACTAACTTAACATCTGGTCTGTATCTCCCCCCTCACCCCTCCCGTCTCTCTGTGAGGGTTTGAAGCAGTCCGACCCTCAGTTTCACAATGGACAAGGCAAGGGTCTGTGAGTTTTTGTTTATAATTCAACTTAAACTATATGCACTTTTTTGTTGTTGTAAATCACTCATCCATGTTTTGACATCATTGTGTAAAGATCTACCTCTTAGCGCTCTGAAAAATGTAAGACTTTTTTTTCCTTTCATATTTATTGTTACCTAAAACTACAGTAAATGTTTCGCTGTGTTTTAGAGCCATGATTATTTTTATATTGTGTTGTATATAGTCACATATTTTCTTTATGCTAACCCTAATCCATATGCGACGTATGAGTTTCTATGATCAATCAAGTAAGTAAGCAGCTGCCTGGTGTCGTTTTTCTAATATTTTTTATCCTTATATGTAAGCACATGTCATCGGGGTGAATATATATTCAGACATCCCGGACGTAACTTAATATTTACTGCCTCATTTCAGATTTTTCCCATGGTGAACTACTATGGTATATCTCCAACATAAACAGGTGAAACTAGATATGACAACCTGGAATCTCTTTCACACTGCTTGAGGATCACAACAGTGGGGCCCCTGTCTCCAGCATCTGCACAGCTGTCACACACAGAAGCCTTGGGATCAATTTTAATTTACAATTCCATTCCTCGGTCAACATATCACACGTTGTCCTGGGTAAAGTTGTAGAAAGAAGAAACATTTAAAAAACCTAAAGTGTTTAAAGCAGATTAAACCTAATATAAATTATATCTTAAATCAGAATATTTCTACCATAGGACTGAAGTGGTAGGGGACACTGTTTATTTAAACTTTAAAGTAGTGTTGTCCTTTGAAAACATTATTTTTATTAATGTGGTCAAAAGATTACAAAAAGTTTTATAGACCCCCTCTTAGTCTGCCTGTGTGTGTGTGTGTGTGTGTGTGTGTGTGTGTGTGTGTGTGTGTGTCTTCATTACGTATATCTAGAGTCATACAATTATTATTTTTAGTCATTAACTATGTTTTTGTCCTGTTGTTCAAAGTTCACAGCTATTTTAAGCAGGCTACACTAATCACTTTTGTAAATATAAACCAGCCTGCAATGAAAATGAGAATTACAAGGAAATAAATACATATTTGGGTGGTGTAATATTATAATAAAATGTTTTAAGATAACCTATGCTATTTAAATGACTAAAATAGCCTAAATAGAATATAATGAGCAATAATAATTCACCGCACCACTGCATATAGGATGTATGATACAACAAAATTAAGCGCACAGTTTCACCTAATTAATAATTAATTTGTTTAGTTATGTAATTTATAATTTGAATAAGTGAACAACACCAATAAACTTGGGGTATTCATAAAAATAGTTTTATTCATTACATCATAGTTCAGATTTTTTCAGGAAATGGGCAGACTAGAATAAATATCAACACAGTAGCAAACAAGAAACAATCAAAATTGCAATACAAATTAATAATGAATTTTTTAACAACAGAGGATTGTAAATAACACAATTTGAGTAAAAATCAATGACTGGGAGAATTTGATTGAAAATCTATTATGTACATTTGAAAAACAGCCATGGGTACATTTTACCTTGTGGTGGTTCTAGTGTTAAATGATGTATATGAGTAGCTATGTGGATCTAACTTTGTATGAAGCATTATAAATAATATTTTCAAAAACAAAAAATAAAAGTATTACAAAGTTGCCATTGTTTGAGGAAAATATACACATGGGTTCTTCTTTTAAATTTGGTGCAGGTGTGTTGAATATAAATGCATATGAATGTTATTGTGTAATTTTATTGAAGTATTATGTGAAAATGAAAGTAATCAATATATAAATTAATATGCTGAATTATGTTAACCCTGGATGTAATATTGGGAATAATGAACGTATAATGGTCTTTTCATTAGACAGTGGACCTTTCATTAGACAGTAAACATGAACTTGAAATAATCTAATATTATCAGGAGCAGGTGGATGGATTTGACGCACACCTCCTCATGTGACCACTACCAACCAATGAAATAAAAGCTTTTTTTAAAAATGGCTGATCGGACCACATTCCACCATTAAAAAACAAGGCCAAAAGGGTTGGAAACAATTGTGGCAAATCAGGTATCTATAACCAATAAAAAATAACCGGAACAAAGAAAAAACAGAAAATGACCAAATTTGGAGAGAACAAAGGGTATATAATATGAGCTGACAAACAAAGACTTTGGAATGATTTGGAATGCTGTGACTGTCTTCCCGGCTTTGTTTCTTTGTTAAATAAAGTCTTATTTTGACATCTGGAACTCTGCTTCTCCACTTCATTGGCCGCACCCAAGAAAAATCCACGACAATGTAAGATGAGATATTTATTGGTTAAAACACGATCACGCAAACAATAATTTATAAGAATTTACTTAACTGAATATAATTTACTGAAGTTACTTAACAGCATCCAAAGTAAATCCACTGCTTTTATTTAAATCGTCCACTCACACGTCCCCAGTACATGCTGCAGTGATGCTCATTTGGGCCCATATTTGATATTATACGTGTTATTATGTCCTATATTTGTCACCACAATTGTGCTTTAAAAGGCCATGTCTTATGCCATGTCTACTCTGCTTGCCATGCTGCGCTGCAACAACTGTAACTGCAACCGGGCCCACGTTTGTCCTTCATCGTGTCACGCCTCGTCCAGTGTAGACAGTATCACTGATTATAATAATTTCTATTTTCTTTGGACGCATCGTGAGGGTATTACTGATGATGCTCGGGATCTATGAATGATCCTGATGGAGATATAAAGAAGCCTTACACTCCAATAATCTTTTGGAAATAGGAGTTTTTAACCACACAAACAGCACTTCAGCTCAATTTGAACGAAGAGTCCATAGTGTAGTTCCTTAAATGGGTGCAAAATGAATCTGCTCCCGCCCTGATTGTCCAGCGAAACGTGACTGGTTATAGCGAGAACATGCTTTGATTGGTGAGCGAAGTGAGGCTGTTATCTGACTGGCTTGAGTAGTCAGTGGGTGGAGTCCATGCATTTGTGGGCTGTCAGTGTCTTGACGCTAGAAATGTTTCAAAATGCACAGATGTGTGCAGCGATCTACAAATGCACACGACGTGATTCACAAATGAATGCCAGGCAAAGTTGTGCTTGTGACATAAAAAGATATTTGTAAACTTGTCTTTTATTTGCAAATCTCATTTATTTTATTTTTTGTGAATTTAATTCATGTTTGTGAAAGTCAAAGATTTATTTGTGGATCTCATTCTATCTATTTATCAATATGTTTAATTTTTGTTATTCACTTTACATTTATTTGTGGATCATAATCTATTTATTTGGAATAATGCAACAATTCTAGCCCCATAAATGTGCATCATTTAGTTACGTTAAGGATCAAATCAACTATAAATAGCACATTAAAGATAAAAGTTATGCACTTTTTTTGTGTGTGCGCTGTGCAGGTCTTGTATAAACAATGCTTTTGCTCAGGTGGCTGAAATGTTTGCCCAACAGAGAGAAGTTTTGCTCAGCAAGAAAAAATATTAAAGGGAACATTGGTTGATTGTAACCTCTAATTGCTTGTCACCTAAATAACCTTCAGAGATATGCTTTATTAACTATATATACATCTGTTAAGATTTTGCTTGTTTTTCTATGATTTGACCAATCAGTATCCTTTTTACCTACAGCATGTAGTGATGTATTTAGTGACCTCTATTAAGAGTATAATTGAAGCTGACTCCTGCTGATGAAACTGCAAAATATTTTCTTCTGTAATTTTTTCTTCAATTGATTGCATCTCTGACTCCTGGTCTTCATTCATCAAACCTGGTCCTTGGGTTTTAACTGTAAATTCCCCTACAATATATTCTGGGTAGTGTATTCAGGGTGTCTGTGTTTGATATCTGTCCTTTCACAACATTTCATTTTCACAACATTTATATTAAAAAGTACCTGAAAGTTGCGATGTGCTGAACATGACTTCTTGCTTTGTTACGCATATTTTTGTGTATACTAGCATACCTCCATTCTCCAGGTCTTGTAGTGGCCACAGCACCGAGTAAGCTATCTGTTGTGGAGTGTAGAACAGAGGAGCCATACAGCAAGTCGGCTGGGAAGAATGCTGAACCCGAAATCCAAATTCATCCATGATGTACCACACAGGCACCTTTTCTTCTGCAGACTGCAGCAACATATCTCAGAATGCACACAGAACACAAAGACGAAAATTTTATGAAAATTTACTTATTTACCACCTAAGATGTAGAGGAGTTTCTTCATCAGAACAGATTTGGAAAAATGTAGCATTACATCACTTGCTCAGCTCTGCAGTGAATGGGTGCCGTCAGAATGAGAGTCCAAACAGCTGATAAAAACATCACAATAATCCACAAGACTCCAGTGTGTGTTTGTAAGAAACGACCATTGTTACAGCATTTTGACTTGAAACCGTCGCTTTTGGCTAATATAGCAGTACATAATCCATAATAACACTTCCCCCAGGGAAAAAAGTCCATCCCCTGCTGTCCTCTCACATCAAAATCCATTGATATATTTGTTGAGAAATATTTTGGACTGTTGTCACTTGTAATATGTGCATATTTCTGTCCTAGTATGGATGAGATTAATTTTTCACTTGAGAAAGCAATATTATGGATAAAAGACTCTGTATTTCAGACGGAAGCAACTGTTTGAAGTCAGAAATGCCTTGATGAATCTGTTCATTACAAACATACAGCTTTTCACTTCACAAGACATTAATTGATGGACTGGAGTTGTGTATTATTGTGATGTTTTAATCAGCTGTTTGGACTCTTATTCTGACGGCACCCATTCACTGCAGAGGATCCATTGGTGAGCAAGTGATGTAATGCTAAAATTCTCCACGTGTTCTGATGAAGAAACAAACTCATTTACACCTTGGGTGGCCTGACAGTGAGTACATTTTCAACAAATATAAATTTTGGGGTGAACTATTCCTTAAAGAGAATATTCCTTCTCTTTCTCTTACCCCCTGGGAAAGCTGATAGGTTTGGTTGTATTTCCACATGCTGTCCAAGACCAGATCCACGACGTCCGGATCAGGTGCCTCTCCGTGAAAAGGCAAACCCATCAGACTGGCCATCCAGATCAGCAGTTCAGGAATCTCTAGCAGCTGCTGCCGGGCACTTTCCACCCTATACGTCCAGGCGTGATCTACAAGAAACACACTACAAACACCATTTTCAAAATCAACAAAACCAAAAGTTCCTGATGCTCAAACAGTTGAGCATGGTGCTAGCAAATACAAGGCCATGGGTTTTAGTAAATTAAATAGTAAATAAAATACTAATAACAATAACAGCAATTGAAGGTGTTTATTTCCAATATCCACCTCACCTTTACATATATTAATTATATAAGTACCAGAAAATAAAAAAGTGTTGTCTAACACTCAGATTATGTGAAAAGCATCTTATCTTATCTTTTAGAGAAAGTTAGAGCCTAGTTACAGTCTCAGGCCTTCAACCTTAAGACAGAAACGATGTAGTTGTGTGTGTGTTATCATCTTTATTACAGGATAGGGCTAGGCGATATAGCTCAAACTTTGACAACATTTTTCATTTGCTCTTTTAAAAAACTTAAAAAGGTTATTTATTGCACCCATGAGAAAGACAGCAGAATCATTGTTACGTACATACAAATTTTACACTGCGTTTTGCACAAATGGAACATTTAAAAAGGTACCAACTTAAAACCTAAATAACTAAAATAGTATGAGAATTAGCCTGTTTTTATGAAAGTGTAAAAAGTTTACTGATCTTACTGTACATTACCCTAAAAAACAGGTACAATATTTTTTTTTACAAATGAATAGCTCACCCAAACGATGTCAGATGAGTTTCTATCACATTGATGAGAAAGTCATCTGTTAACCACACATTTATTTTAGTGCATATGTGTTTCCTATCTATCTGCAGTCACCAGTAAGGATCTTCAGTGTACGTTGACCTTCCTTTTTATTATCCCAAAAATTCCCTACTGAACGTCAGAAATCCTATATATATACATACATATATATATATATATATATATATATATATCAGATATTTTTCCTTTATCCTTTTATCATCACAAACATAAAAATGCTCCCAATAAGATCACTTGACTGCCTGCCTAACGGCTCACTGCTGCCCTCACCTGGTGGGATCAGCAACCTGCAGGCCATTTTCTCTGGTCACTGTGCAGGACTGTGTTGAGAGAGGAAGAGCTGATACTCTTCATCCTCTTCTCCGTTCACATTACCGTTCTGCATCTTTGATCGTTTTCTTTCTGACAACTCACACGTGAACCGTGCAGCGGGGCATCATGGGAAACAAGTTAAAAAGGCCAGAGCGTATGATCTTTTGTTGGTTTTGATTGCTTCTATTGTCATCATTTGTAAGTCGCTTTGGATAAAAGCGTCTGCTAAATGACTAAATGTAAATGTTTTTATCAGCTGTTTGGACTCTCATTCTGACGGCACCCATTCACTGCAGAGGATCCATAGGTGAGCAAGTGATGTAATGCTAAACGTCCCCAAATCTGTTCTGATGAAGAAACAAACTCAACTAAATCTTGGATGGCCTGAGGCAGAGTACATTTTCAGCATATTTAAATTTTTAGTTCACTACTCCTTTAATAGTCGCCTTCAATAATTCCTGAGGGATTTTACCTGCTTGTTTCTGATGCTGCACCTTTCCATGCCAGTCTATAAACACCACCTGCTACCTCAGCAAGCCAGCGCACATCTGCAGGGACTTCTGGGATCCATTCCCAAAACCTTTCAAACACAGTCGAAATTAAAAACTTGTCTGGATACAACATTTGTGACATTCACACAAATATTTACAGTTGTGTTGCTTAATATTTCTGCAAACCGTTATTCATTTTTTCAGGATTCGTTGATGAATAGAAAGTTCAAACGAACAGCATTTATTTGAAATATTAATGTCAGTCAATATTTGTAACATTACAAATGTCTTCACTGTCACTTTTAATCAATTTAATGCAACCTTGCTGAACAGAAGGATTTAAAGTTACATTTAAAAACATTACTGACCCCAAACTTTTGAATGGTAGTGTATTAAAAGTGCAATTAATAGAATAATTCTGTTCTGATTAGTAAACAACAATAAATGATGATATTGACCTCTGAGCTGCAGAGTACGCTGATTCCACAGGCAGCGTGTACGGCATCAGCATGTAGGACGCTACACGTAACGGTAGGAAACCAGACACTTGTGCCAGCAGGCCATGCTTTTCTCTGCAGGCATCGCAAAAAACTGCAAACACATGCACATAGTACAGTATGAAGTTAACATTCTTCAGCTTTAAAAGTACATTTACGTATAAATTAAACTTTAAGTATAATTTTTTTCGTATTTGTCATCCTTTCCTATCAAAATGCTTGTTACGGATGCGAAAACGCAGAAAATCGAACCTGATCCAAATTATTTTATGATGGATGAAAGTTTCGGAGGCAGTGTGTAAACGTGATTGACACAATGTGAGGTTGTATTTATTTTTTAACGTGCGAAAATTTCGGACTCAGTGTGCAAAAACCTTTACTCTACCTTTCTTAATGGGGGTTGGCAGGTTATTGACAAGTTGTTCGTCCAACCACCAGTGGTGTTTTCTCAAGAGGCGGAGTCTCCGCAGCACCCACTCTTTTGTGGTTTCCGTCACGACTGAATTCCTATTGCCTGGACAGCAGCAGGTGGGCGTGGTCTGAATCAAAGCCACGTCTGCTCTTGGACATGCCGCCTGTAGCAAATCTATAAAGAGACATCACCGTTATCTTCTAAACCGCAGCACATATCATATTTGTGACCCTGGACCACAAAACCAGTAAGTAACAAATAAGTATAGCAAGCCATACATCAATGGATAGCTTATTTATTCAGCTTTCGGATGATGTATACATCTCAATTTCAGAAAATTGACCCTTATGACTGGTTTTGTGGTCCAGGGTCACATTTGGCATAACGCATAAAGTGACACGAGAGATAAAGAGCACTCACTGTTTTCCTGGAGAAATCGGAGGGCGTCTTTATACCCGCTTTGACACATTTCTGCCAGCACCTGCCAATCACATGCACAGACATTTCATTGTCATTTCTGACATTTCTGTCATTTCTGACCGGCCTTTTAAAAATTGCTTGTAAATTTCTTATTATGCTATATTACCACCACATCTAAGATTCAATCGTTTTGTCAACTTGTTTTCTTTCAATTAGCACAGGTTTGTAAGTCTTTTTGGAACTGATTGCTCATAGGCCTCATTGATCTGAGCTTATTCACTTCGGTTTTTGAGTAAAAAAAGCATTATTTGTGGATAATTTTGCAAATGTTTACTCAAAAACTGAGGTGCATAAGCTCTGATCAGTAAGACATTATATGACTGGACAAAAAAATTAAATCACATCATGAGGGTTAAATAATGCTTAGATAATTATGAAAATGAGTGACTCCAATTAAATATTGTAGGTCAAACATTATAGGGATTTTCTTTCTATACTTAACTCATTTAAAACCAAACAGAAATGAAAGAAATTATCACAAGTTAAAAGGATGAAAGTTACTCTTTATGATTCTATCATTGTTACTCCACATTATATTCATATTACTGTCTTATGTTACTCACATAGTCTAGTATTATTCATTTATTCTATTTTATTACTATTAATTTCATTTATACTCATATTCCATTGACGTAGTATTTTCTTTTAACATTTGACATATAAAGGTACATCTTGTTATGATTAAAATATGTTTATAGGATGATGGAAAAGCATTCTAAGCATTTTTTTATTTTTATGCAAGGATGTTTTGCTAAATGCATCTTCTCGTTTTTCTTGGTACCAAGTGTTCTTTTCCAAGAGCTGGTATTTGCAAAGTGAAATTTGAAGATTGCAAAGATCTGCTGTTTCTGCTCAAAAGGTGTAAAACCACAGCACCATCTTTATTTTGATCTGATCTTATCTATTGCATATTGATGTCATGTTAACGTGACCTAGCTTTGACTCTAAGTTAATTTAGGCTGAGAATTTTTTTTGGCAAGACATATGTTGTTACACAATGGATAAATTCCTTTGATCAAACATAAATATCTTTTTATGCTGTACGAGGATGTAAGTCTAATATATATACATCTCCAATTGGCTTTTCAGGCAGCAGCTTCTTTGCTTCTGCTCACATCACATGCTCAAAAGGCCTTTGTCTTTTGACTTCTGAAGATTATTACACTTAGATTGTACTACTCTCTTAGAAATTTTAGCAGAATATACTCAGTTTGGATTTCGTGTTCATTTTTAAACTTTTTCTTTAATTTTATTTTTTTCATTATGATTATCACCTGTAATTGTTATCATTTATAATTTTGTCTTCAATAAATTACAATTTTACCGAAAGACTTCATCTGCCTGGATCTCTCTGTGCATCAGAGGGCTTAAGGACAGACCAGCAATTTAACAGCATGTTTTTTTAAAGGCTGAATACAGACAGTGATTGTGTAACTGCGCTGCAGCTCATGCACACCACTCTTACTTCACTTAAGCGTGTGTGTGTGTGTTTGGTGTTCTTACTTTAGGCTCTGGGGGAAACAGTGCTTTGCTCAGTCTGTACATGTTGTCTAGATTGACTTGTATGCTGGTGTTTGTGAAACGCAGTTCGTGGAAGCTGGTGGAATTGTCTTTTGGACAGATGTCACTCTCTCCTGAGAATGGAGAAATGGTGATGGTGTTCTTCAGCTCGGACTGGGGCAGATTATCACTCATCCCACCATCCACATAACGCTGATGAGAAAGAAAAAGTGAGCGATATGTATATGTAAAAAAAATTTTTTATATAAAAGAATGTCAAGATTACCCACAAACTTTTGCTTCGCCTCTCTTCTACTGTTCTTTTCAAGTTTGAACGATAAAGAACAATAAAATAATAGATATAAATTGTAGAACCACTATTTTTATTTTTAATAACAGAGCTTTAAGACCCACTTTTTTCATTAGTAATATTTAAATATTAAATTTATAATATTTATAAAAAAAATATATATATATATATATATATATATATATATATAAAGACACATCCATCTTAAACCATCCAGCCTTCCTAATGATCAAATGATAGCTAGCCAGATAGCAGTAGTAGTTCCTGATGGGAAATGTATTGTTTGTAATGAGCCAATTGGGATTTCCAGGCTATTGCAAGTGTCAATGTGGCTCAGTTGAGGGTGGTCTGATCAGGGCTGACCAGCAGTAAGGTGGTGGTGTGATCAGACCAAAAGACTTGCATAACAGCCTTTATTTGTCCTTTTAATAGGTCAACTTCACAGCCAAACTTTACTCAATGGACCACTTTAGTCACAGCCTAATCTATTTAAAGTTTTGATAGATTCATTAATCTGGGTTTAATTTTTCAATGTAAGTCATGATTAGTAACTGGCATGTGTATGAATAAAGTATCATCTGTATTACCTAATTAAGTTGAGGAATGTAATGAAACAATTATTCCATATAGTAACCAAATAATGAACACTACTGGGTTATATGTGTTTATACAAACAGAGCTGAACATTTATTTGAACTGTTTGACCTCTGAACTATTTCTATGCATTGAAGTCTCCTCCCCTTTCTAAAGAACAAGTGCACAATGTACAGGCTACGGGGTTGAGGGTGGGCTCATTCAGACACACAGAGTAACAGCTCAACAAGAAAATCTTGGTCAAAACAATAAGCATATTTAATTCTCTTATTGAGGCCAGTGTTAGTTTACTTTGCCCCAGTAACTGAATTCTTTGAAGTAAGTGCAATGAACTCTTGTTGCAATGTCCTAATTCTCCCATGTGAAATAATTCAACTTTCCAGCCGTGTCACCTCATACAATGCCTCATGGATTGGCTCAAGTTAAAAAATTACATCACACCATTAAAGTTATGAACTTTAATACTTACCACACCACGGAAGGCAGGAGGAATTAAACCACAATATACAGGAATGAAACAGCTGCAAATAAGAGCCTGCGAAAATAGGGAGAGAAAGACATATGCAAAACAAAGATAAAGTAAAGACACGGTGTTATTTTAGTATAATTTATATACTATTACAGTATTTTTATTAATATTCTAGCTTTTATTTTTTTTATATTCATTTTAATTTTCAATTATAGTTATGTGTATGTTTTGCTGTTGTATTTTTATTACTTTTTAAAAAATATTTAGCTTTCATTTATTTTTATTTTATTTTATTAATTCTTATTTTATTTTATTTTTATTTGCCAAAGCCACATTTCTAATTTTCAGGGTTTTGTTTATGTTGAGCTTTTCATCAAATATTTTTTATGAATTTAATTTAATTTCTGCTTTATTTCAATTAACTATATATATATATATATATATATATATACACACACATTCATTTTTAAATTTTTTTATTAATTTTAATGGATATTTTAGTTAACTAGCAGCTATTTTAAATTCCAAATGTAAAAAAATTGCAATTTTGCACTGATTTTGAGGGAAATCTGATTCTGCGGATTTAAACATGGTAAAATGTGTTAAATAGAGCTATTTTAGTTAACTAGCAGCTATTTTAAATTCCAAATGTAAAAAAATTGCAATTTTGCACTGATTTTGAGGGAAACCTGATTCTGCGGATTTAAACATGGTAAAATGTGTTAAATAGAGCTCTTATTGATAGCTATAACCACAATATTTAATAAATTAACATGCAAGGGGTTTTGGCTGATGATTCTTGGGAACTCCTTCAATAAAATGTTACGACCTCATTTTTACAGAGAATTTATCAGAATATTAAGTGAATTAGTGTGATGTCATGTTATGGCCCCATTAAATCATGTAGTTAAAGAATATAAAAGTGGGTTATCAGAATAATATAAAGTGGTGACAGAAAATCTAATTCTGAGCTGTTTCTCTGGTAAAGTGATGCTCTCACCTGGATGAGTTCATCTTTGGAGCTGAAGTCCGACACCAGTACGTTTTGGCCGTCCATGACGCGTGTGAGGGACACACACAGTCGACTAGAGGCCAGCGTGTGTGCATTAGACGGCAGGTCCCGATACAGGCCTCCACGTATCACCTTGACTATGTTGAATGTTGGGTGCAAAGGGCCCAGATTACGCTTCCGTGCCTCCTTGGCAACATTGATTACGTCTTCACAACATTTCTCTGCATCAGTGGAAAGAAACGGACACAAATAATGAACTAAGCAATATACAGGCAAGATGAAAAGGAAGTCAAGAACATAAGATGAACAAAAAATAACTGTAATGCAGATACATTGAACATTATTTTATCATCTTTAATCTTGACAATACACACAATCTCTGAACCTGTAATAAACCAAAGGTTGATTAGAGTCTGAATCAGCTTTCTAGTTCAGATTACATGAAAGTGAAAGAATGAAGTCATGCAGATATCACACAGACATGCACAAACAACAGCACACTTTACAGTTCTTGGTTCGATACTGCAACAAGAAAACCCATAGTTTGTCATTTAACTGACACGTTCATACAAAGTGACCCACTCTACACTTTCTACACTTTCCACTTGTCTTCCTCTGAGTCTTGCTTAATTACCCAGTGGAAACAGCGCCTGGATTACACACCCAGAGGATCAGCTACAAAATGAAATGCTATAATAAAATTCAGATAGCATAGTTCAGATATGTTGGGCTTGAAACATGAGGTCATGAAATAAATAAGTTAACAGAAGTAAATGCAAAATAACACTAAAACGAAAAATATATCAAAGCAATTTAGAAATATAAAACAAACAAACATGTAACAAAATGACTGAATCTTTAACTAAAATCAAAACTGAAAATATAAATCTAAAAGCTGATTCAAAATATGAATCAATAAATGAATGAACACACCTTTTCTACTCATAACTCTGAATAAATATTATAATAGCATATAAATAATATTAAAATGACACTGCTTCATCAAAAACAACGGTGTTCACAGGTACATAAACTTAATAATTGGGGAAGTTTGCTTAAATTGTTACATGAATATTTTTTATTTTATTTGAATATAGTTTTGTATTTTGTATTTTTTTATCAGAATAATAAATAGATGACCATTACAGGACAACAGTAAACCTTTCTATGCGTATATATGTATATTATATGTGTTATGAATATTTTTATTTTATTTGAATATAATTTTGTATTTTTTTTATCAGAATAATAAATAGATGACCATTACAGGACAACAGTAAACCTTTCTATGCGTATATATGTATATTATATGTGTATATATTATTCAAAGAAAATATGTATGTGTGAATGTGTGTCTGTGTGCATTTTGTTATCCATTAACCATCTTTTGAGTATATGAGAAAAAAAAAAGAAGAAAAATATCTGAGCTACAGTAAAAATATTAGTCATAAAACACTGGTGAGGTTCTAGATTTAACCACCACCCTAAATACGGTTATAGTTACTTTCAAATATTTACTTATAGGAAGCAAAATGCAGAAGTTCCCTAATCACCAGAAGAAACGACTCAAAAACCTAGCAAGCTATCTACACAAAAACAGCCTTTTTGAGCACCATCTAGTCAGGGGTTTGAAACACATCCGTGTTGTGATCTTCGTACCTAAACATGCCTCGGTAGCGAGCACGGATGCAGTGAGAGCCCCTGCGGAGGCTCCGTAGATCTTAGTGGCCCCGCGGATCAGATAAGGCGCTTGCTCCAGAAGACAGCTCGCGACACCGATGTGATAGACCCCTAAAAAGCCGCATCCAGCGAACGAGAGATTCCAGCCTCCCTTTAAGTTTAAATCAAACATGACTGCGGCAAAGTGTCAGGCTGCTCCTGCTCGCGCTGTAACTAATAGCCTATCATACCTTCTGTAAAGGTGTTTGCTTATCTTTGTGCAGAAGGAGGGGTTGTTGCTGTTGTGTGGTGTTTTGCTCTTGCGGCTGTCAGCACTGGAGCCAATAGGAAACTTGCGGCAGCCCAGTTGAAATAGAAACTCTGTTAGCAAATTCTTAAATAGGCGGGGCTTACACGTGGTATATATACTGTTATGTATACTGTTCAACGTTGTCACATGGTTAATGCTACTTTTCTCAAGATTCGTCGGGACAGCCCAATCACAATCGTTTAAGATGATGACATTTAAAACAATTAAAAATTTCACGAACAGATTATTTATTATTCAAGCACCAATACTTGTAATGAGTAGATTTAAACAATTATATTTATTACAAGAAATTGTCTCCAGTGTGGGAAAAAAAATTCTACTACGAGACACTCTAATCATTTCTAATTTTCCTACGAGACACTCAACGTTATTCGTGTTTATTTAACACTATAACACTATGATATTCATTTATAACAAACATTGGTATGCATTATATAAGTGCTAAAATGCATACACATATAGGCTATTTGATTTTATACTACTATATGTGGCTACTACACATTCATATTTAAGCGTATATCCATGCACAATGCAATATTTGCTAATGACTTATCAATTAAAATGTAAATGCCATATCGTGGTTCTGAGAAAGCAGACAAACGTGATAAACAGATTATAGCATTAATGCAAGATTGGATTCGTCTTCCTCACTCAGCAACCACATTTGTATAGTTTTACTTTTAGAAACGTGTTGTTTATTTACATAAGCGATGAACATCTGGCCTGCTCGAGGAACCGCCCAGACGACTGGTGCTGATGCTGAGAGAATCCCATTACATCATCTCTCCTCTCCTCCTCCTGATTGGCTGAAGGTCAAGGCGCACGCAAAGCGGCACGTCTTTGCCAAACAATCAGAGGCTGCTGGATATCAAATGCGTCCTCTTCTCCCCAAATCTTTTTAAAATTCAATCCCTTCAAGCCTTTCGTGTTGTAATCGTTTGACAGGATGGCGGAAAGCGAGGTGGACACGCCGAGCACCCCGATTGAATACGAGAGCAAATACTTCGAGTATCATGGAGTTCGACTCCCTCCTTTCTGCAGGGGCAAGATGGACGAGATCGACAACTTTTCGTTAAGAAGTAGCGACATATGGATCGTTACATACCCCAAATCAGGTATTAAAACACAGCTTACATGTGCATGCTTTTCCTTCATATAGAGGATGCAGTTATTTGAAGTGTTTACCAAAATAAAGGATGATCTGAGATCTTTAGCATCACTGCACGTCACTTTTGTTTTGCATATTTGTTTGTAGGCAATATGATTTAGAGTGTGCCAAAACATGTTTTAGATAGCTTGTTAATATAATAAATACAAAACCTAAGCATTTATGTGCATATTTATATAGTCTGCTTGTTTAGTAAAATAGCGCTTTCTAAATGATAGACAAATACATGTTTACCTTTATGGATGATTCATCAACAGCCTGGATGACATTGGCAATATTATTAATTTCAAATAGGAGGCATTTTCAAAACATTATGAAACCAGGCTGGCCCACCTAATCATGTCCGATCCTCCCTGAGAGTCTTGTATCTGAGCCAGGCCTGTATGAAACAGATCAGTTTCATCAAAATAATAAGGTGAAAGTTGATTATTTTAGAGATTGTGTGATCTTTGGATGATAAGAATGGAAAATCAGAACTGGGAGTGTTTGTTTTGTGTGTTGATGTGACATTTTTAAAAAGAAAGGTGAAATGTTTGCAATGCCCAGACGTGTTCATTCACTGCAAGGGCGCTGTTTCCTGTTAGGATGTATCACTCCCTCTCCCACGCATTCTTGTTGCTGTCGATTTACTTGTGTAATAAGTCAGCTGAAAACAAATGTATATTTACAGATCTTTTTTTGTTTCCTGTAATGAAAAAAGCAATTTAGACTGGAAAGTTCAGATGCATTATAGAGTTGTCTTATTGCTTTCTCACCTGCTTGCACACGAGAAGCCAAAAAGAAAACAGTAACACTTTATAATAAGGTTCCATTACGTTAGTGCATATTATCTAAAATGAACAAATAATGAGTAATTCACTTTGTTAAAGGAGTAGTTCACCCAAAATTAAAATTTTTCTTAAAGTTTTCTCACCCTATAAAGCCATTCAAGATATAGATTCACAGATTTGGAGAAATTTAGCATACCATCACTTAATGACCAATGGATCCTCTGCAGTGAATGGGTGCCGTCAGAATGAGAGTCCAAACAGCTGATAAAAACATCACAATAATCCACAAGTAATCCACACGACTCCAGTCCACCAATTAACATCTTGTGAAGCGAAAAGCTGCATGTTTGTAAGAAACAAATCCATCATTAAGACGTTTTTAACTTTCAACTGAAATTCAAGTTCTTTATGCATAATATTGCTTTCTCCAGTACAAAAGTCAGAAATATGCACATATCAAGCACCATTTACAAGCAGAAACAGTTCAAAACAGTTCTAAACAAATATTTTGATGTGAGAGGACAACAGGGGATGGTCTTTTTCACTAGAGGAAGTGTTATTATGGATTATGGATTAGTATTTTGGCCAGAAGCAATAGGTTCAAATTTAAACACCTTAATGATGGATTTGTTCATTCTGACGGCACCCATTCACTGCAGAGGATCCTTCTGTGAGCAAGTGATGTAATGCTAAATTTCTCCAAATCTGTTCTGATGAAGAAACAAACTCATCTACATCCTGAATGGCAGCAAATTTTCATTTTTGGGTGATCTGTTCCTTTTAATGTTCGTTAATAAAAATACAGCTGTTAATTTTTACTTCATTTCAGCTTTAATTTTTGTAATGTATTAGTATATGTTGAAATTAACATTAAGCTTAATAAATGCTTAAAAAATGATTTCTCATTGTTAATGTTAACTAATGTTAACAAATGAAACCTTATTGTAAAGTTTTACTAAGAAAACCACCATAGGCCTAAACAACATTAGTACAGTCAAGGGATGTCTAAATGGATGCAGCTGTTTATATAACATGATACAGATACCACTGTGCAGTTATAAAGCGATGAACAGAGTTCGACAAACAGCAGGATAGTAAGAATGATAGCGTGAGGGTCTAAAATCGCTTGGCTTTGCAGAGGATGTTGTGTCGCACCAGCATCGGTTTAATTGAGTTCGGAGAGCCAAGGGAAGACCGAGCTCTGCTGAGTGTTACACACTGAAATGTGTGTCTCCAGCGGACTGTGATGGATGACAGGTCAATAGAGTCACATGTTGCACTGCCAGTCGAATCTGTGGAGTAAACAGACATTGCCTTGTTGATAGTTGTGATGGGAATGGCAGAGTCAAACATTATATGTTTGTGTTTTAAACAGTCTGAACAAATGTATATCAATACATTTTGATATTTCCCAAATATAATGCCTGGAAATTTGTAAATTGACAGTGTAAGTAATATCACTTTTGGTAGTGCACCAATTGTGTTTGCAAGATAACTTCACTTTATGTGGCTTTATTTCGTTTTGCAGTCCAGTGGGAGGAAGCGGCCAGAGGGTCATGTGACCCCGATGGTGTGTTTTCTTGAAAAGTGATTTAAAATCAAACGTCATCATCGTACTGAAAGATAAAGCCTCCTTGTATTTATTGTTATGCCCTTAAAATCTTAATTTGTTCCTTTAAAGTAGTTAACACAAGAGTGTTTCTGTGCAGCAAATCAAGATTATTAAATCTAACTTTAAGGGAGAGCCCTAGTTGGGTTGTTTTTGTATTGATATTTCTATGCATGTTGTTCATGTTAAAGTTAGCATGCGTGTTTCATTTCTGCTTATGTATGCTCTCAAGCCAGCCAAGAGTAAACAAAACTGCTGAATGAGAGTGAAAGAGGCACTTTATGATAATTTCAAGGTCATGCTTGTATTTTACCTTTGTTTTGTACTCTTGAAAACTCCTGAAAAAGGTGGCAGTATAATTGCTTCTCCTCAACTAAACAGAAGTAGATGTTTCATCTGAAATGGGCAAAAACATAAGAAGTGAAAGGGGACACTGATATGCCTCCACAGTCATACAATACAAAAAATGTGAGAAAATAACATCAATGTAATTGATATAAGCTTTTGTATTAATGTGAACAGTCTACAAACTTGCATTTTTCATGCTTTTCAGAGGATCCAAATAAGACTTGTTGGGGTTCAAAGGCTCCATTGTCAAATGTTTAATGGTAGTCATGTGTTTAAACCAGCTCTGTCCCTTCCAGAATTACTTTTACAATTAATTTGTTAAGGCTAATAAATGTTACGTTTGCACATTTTTCTTGAAAGGTTTTCTTGGAATGTGACGTGTTCCTGTTGATCAGTAGCATATAAAGAATTAACAGCAAATGAACAAAATATCCTTTTATAAATGTCAGAACAAACTGACATTAAATAAGTTAAAACAAATAAATATTATTTGAAAGGAAAATATAAAAAAATCTATATGATTTCTGTCGGAGGTCCTTTAGATGTTTTCAGTACATACCACCATTAATTCCTGCATGTAAGGATAATGTTGATGCGTTAGATTTACACATGTCAGGGAACACTGTGAAGAAGGTGGAAGATACGAAGATCAGGGCATGCACCCAAAACGTTTGACGCGGCAGGGTGAAATTTCATTATCAGAGCTGCCTAAAGGTCAACAGCAACTTGTTTGTACCTGGCTCCCTGTATAATCAAACTACCATTGTTCTGTTGGGTAGTTTGGCAAAGCAGAAGCCTGACAAAACAATTAACACATAAAAAATGCCAAAGCTCTTATAAAATGAACAGCCCAAAATCATGGGGCAAGACGTCATTTTAGTTCCTCACCCAATAAACTCAACATCTTCTGTGAAGCATAGGAGCATCTACATCAAATGGACGGACTGCTCCTTGTCAGCTGTGACGAACAAAACAAAACACTTCACCAAAGAATGATTTTAAAGCATTGACGTTGCAGGTCAGGCTATATTCATGTGTTTACAGTTAAAAGGGGCATATGATGTTGCTAAAAAGAACATTATTTTGTGTATTTGGTGTAATGAAATGTGTTTATGTGGTTTAAGGTTCAAAAAACACATTATTTTCCATATACTGTACATTATTGTTTCTCCTCTATGCCCCGCCTTTCTGAAACGTGTCGATTTTTACAAAGCTCATCGGTCTGAAAAGCAAGGTGTGCTCTGATTGGCCAGCTGCTGTTAATTTTTACTTCATTTCAGCTTTAATTTTTGTAATGTATTAGTATATGTTGAAATTAACATTAAGCTTAATAAATGCTTAAAAAATGATTTCTCATTGTTAATGTTAACTAATGTTAACAAATGAAACCTTATTGTAAAGTTTTACTAAGAAAACCACCATAGGCCTAAACAACATTAGTACAGTCAAGGGATGTCTAAATGGATGCAGCTGTTTATATAACATGATACAGATACCACTGTGCAGTTATAAAGCGATGAACTGAGAGTTCGACAAACAGCAGGATAGTAAGAATGATAGCGTGAGGGTCTGAAATCGCTTGGCTTTGCAGAGGATGTTGTGTCGCACCAGCATCGGTTTAATTGAGTTCGGAGAGCCAAGGGAAGACCGAGCTCTGCTGAGTGTTACACACTGAAATGTGTGTCTCCAGCGGACTGTGATGGATGACAGGTCAATAGAGTCACATGTTGCACTGCCAGTCGAATCTGTGGAGTAAACAGACATTGCCTTGTTGATAGTTGTGATGGGAATGGCAGAGTCAAACATTATATGTTTGTGTTTTAAACAGTCTGAACAAATGTATATCAATACATTTTGATATTTCCCAAATATAATGCCTGGAAATTTGTAAATTGACAGTGTAAGTAATATCACTTTTGGTAGTGCACCAATTGTGTTTGCAAGATAACTTCACTTTATGTGGCTTTATTTCGTTTTGCAGTCCAGTGGGAGGAAGCGGCCAGAGGGTCATGTGACCCCGATGGTGTGTTTTCTTGAAAAGTGATTTAAAATCAAACGTCATCATCGTACTGAAAGATAAAGCCTCCTTGTATTTATTGTTATGCCCTTAAAATCTTAATTTGTTCCTTTAAAGTAGTTAACACAAGAGTGTTTCTGTGCAGCAAATCAAGATTATTAAATCTAACTTTAAGGGAGAGCCCTAGTTGGGTTGTTTTTGTATTGATATTTCTATGCATGTTGTTCATGTTAAAGTTAGCATGCGTGTTTCATTTCTGCTTATGTATGCTCTCAAGCCAGCCAAGAGTAAACAAAACTGCTGAATGAGAGTGAAAGAGGCACTTTATGATAATTTCAAGGTCATGCTTGTATTTTACCTTTGTTTTGTACTCTTGAAAACTCCTGAAAAAGGTGGCAGTATAATTGCTTCTCCTCAACTAAACAGAAGTAGATGTTTCATCTGAAATGGGCAAAAACATAAGAAGTGAAAGGGGACACTGATATGCCTCCACAGTCATACAATACAAAAAATGTGAGAAAATAACATCAATGTAATTGATATAAGCTTTTGTATTAATGTGAACAGTCTACAAACTTGCATTTTTCATGCTTTTCAGAGGATCCAAATAAGACTTGTTGGGGTTCAAAGGCTCCATTGTCAAATGTTTAATGGTAGTCATGTGTTTAAACCAGCTCTGTCCCTTCCAGAATTACTTTTACAATTAATTTGTTAAGGCTAATAAATGTTACGTTTGCACATTTTTCTTGAAAGGTTTTCTTGGAATGTGACGTGTTCCTGTTGATCAGTAGCATATAAAGAATTAACAGCAAATGAACAAAATATCCTTTTATAAATGTCAGAACAAACTGACATTAAATAAGTTAAAACAAATAAATATTATTTGAAAGGAAAATATAAAAAAATCTATATGATTTCTGTCGGAGGTCCTTTAGATGTTTTCAGTACATACCACCATTAATTCCTGCATGTAAGGATAATGTTGATGCGTTAGATTTACACATGTCAGGGAACACTGTGAAGAAGGTGGAAGATACGAAGATCAGGGCATGCACCCAAAACGTTTGACGCGGCAGGGTGAAATTTCATTATCAGAGCTGCCTAAAGGTCAACAGCAACTTGTTTGTACCTGGCTCCCTGTATAATCAAACTACCATTGTTCTGTTGGGTAGTTTGGCAAAGCAGAAGCCTGACAAAACAATTAACACATAAAAAATGCCAAAGCTCTTATAAAATGAACAGCCCAAAATCATGGGGCAAGACGTCATTTTAGTTCCTCACCCAATAAACTCAACATCTTCTGTGAAGCATAGGAGCATCTACATCAAATGGACGGACTGCTCCTTGTCAGCTGTGACGAACAAAACAAAACACTTCACCAAAGAATGATTTTAAAGCATTGACGTTGCAGGTCAGGCTATATTCATGTGTTTACAGTTAAAAGGGGCATATGATGTTGCTAAAAAGAACATTATTTTGTGTATTTGGTGTAATGAAATGTGTTTATGTGGTTTAAGGTTCAAAAAACACATTATTTTCCATATACTGTACATTATTGTTTCTCCTCTATGCCCCGCCTTTCTGAAACGTGTCGATTTTTACAAAGCTCATCGGTCTGAAAAGCAAGGTGTGCTCTGATTGGCCAGCTATCCAGTGCGTTGTGATTGGCTGAAAACCTCAAGCGTGTGACGGAAATGTTACGCCCCTTACCATATTGTGATGCCTTGACCCGGCCGGAGCAACGATTCAAAAACATGAAAACCCATTATAAACGAGGCATTTGTTGCATCCAGTGGGGACATAATTACTGATTATAATGACTTATACTGTCTTTTTATGAGTTGCATTGCATCGCGCCGCGTGAACATAAAAATATATCTGCATTTGTGATCGGAGAAATTACAAACTACACACGCTACTCTACACTGCTCTAAACTCGTGTTTAAATCGTCAGTGGCAAATTCTTTAAATATAAAAAGCGCACTTACAGGCTGTGAGTCAGAACAGCCGGCATTGTAGTGCTTCGTCCACGGTGAAAGCCGATCCGGTGATCCACAATATACGAATAGGACGAAGCGGATATCGTCCTCTTTTGGAAGGGCAAACAAAGTAGTTTCGCTTTCACAACGAAACACACAGTGCCTTCACGACATGGCGGCGGCAGCAACAATACTACAGCGAGAATAAAAGTTACGCCTTCTTTCTTTGTGTGAACATTTGGGCGCCGTTATGCAAATCTTCCCACATCGTGACGTAGACATGTGGGGTGTGTTAGAACGAGGCGTTTTAGGTAGGCGTGGTTGACTCTTAACTTTTATAAAGAATATCTCTTTGGATTTGAGACTTTAGTCTTTGCAACTTTACAGATCTTCTTTATGCACCAAGAGCTTGTAACACTCCAAAGTTTTAAATCGCATCATATGACCCCTTTAAGTGCAGCTGGCAAAGTCCTCTTTTTACCATCAATAATTCATCCAAAACATCTTTGCTTTCTTCATCTCATGCACGTAGGTACGAGTTTGTTACAGGAGGTGGTGTATCTGGTGAGTCAGGGTGCGGACCCAGATGAGATCGGGCTCATGAATATTGATGAGCAGCTTCCTGTGTTGGAATATCCACAGCCGGGTTTGGAGATCATCCAGGTGTTTACTCTCTCACACGCACATATTTACTGAACCAATGGCCTTCAGCATGGGAATAACATTTATTTATATATTTTCCTGACCTCTTGGACTGATAAAGTTTTGTGTTTCTGTAGGAACTGACATCGCCTCGTCTGATCAAAAGCCACCTGCCGTATCGTTTCCTGCCCACAGCGATGCACAATGGAGAAGGCAAGGTCAGCTAGAAAACACACTTAACATATTAATCATGACTTCCAATTGTCCATTAAGGAAAATTAATGAAATTGATTTCCATTAAACTGATCAAAAGTGACTGTAGAGACATCCATAATGTTACAAAAGATTTCTATTTCAAATAAATGCAGTTCTTTGAACTTTCTATTCATCAAAGAATCCTGAAAAACATGTATTACAGTTTCCACGAAAATATTGATAATAACAAGAACGGTTTCTTGAGCACCAAATCAGCGTATTAAATTATTTCTGAAGGATCATGTGACACTGAAGACTGGAGTAATGGCTGATGATAGATAGATAGACTAAATAGATTAAAAATCTTATTTTAAATTGTAGTAATATTTCACAATATTACTATTTTCGATAAAATAAATACAGCCTTGAATAGTTTAGTAGTGAATAATGAAAAATCTTTAACTTTTTTCCACTATGCTTAAGATGTGAACAGATCTTTGAAAAGAGTATCATTTTTGGTATGAATATGCCTTTACACAAACACATCAATGCATGTCCTAGGTGATCTATATGGCCAGGAACCCTAAAGACCTGGTGGTGTCCTACTACCAGTTTCATCGCTCTTTACGAACCATGAGCTACCGGGGAACATTCCAGGAGTTCTGCAGGCGATTTATGAACGACAAGTGTGAGTGAGACACATTTGACACAAAACTGACATATTTGCTCAAGAGGAAAGTGTACGAGAATGTACTTCTTGTCTTAATCTTGTTTTTTGTGTCTTGTTTGTGTGACCCTGTAGTGGGATACGGCTCCTGGTTTGAGCATGTTCAGGAGTTCTGGGAGCATCGCATGGACTCTAATGTTCTCTTCTTGAAATATGAGGATATGTACAAGGTACTGACTGACACACACACACGCACGCACACACACACACACACTTTCTCCTCCTGCTTATTTTATGGCTATGTTTGAAGTATACTACTTTATACACTACATAATTATATATGCAGTGTCCAGTGTTTATATTATTCACAGTATGGAGTTTTACCCTTTTTGTTTATTATGTGTTTTGTAATTGATTTGGAAGCATTTATTGCTCAATTTTATTACTTATTTTTTTATTCTGTTTGTGTTTGTATCAGTGTTAATTTATGAACAATTTAAATAATATTTTGAATGAGCATTTATTTTATATTTTTAATCTTAGTTCATTTTAGTGATTCTGTTATGTGCTTTTGCCACT